ATGAGCTTGGCCCATAATGTTGGGCTTGGACGTCTTAGTGGGCTTACCTTCCAAAATGTATCCGCTTTATCCATTAAACCGGGTCAAGTATAATATCCTATATCATCTCCGAATTTTTGATTAAAATAAAAATTAAATAAAATAACTGGACAAAAAAAAAAAGAAAGAAGTAGACCAAAATAAAATAGCCGAATTTTTAAAATACGGTTTTCACAGGAAACCGTATTCCCGCAATACGTTTTTTTATAGTAAAACGTATTTCAAGAATCCGTTTTTGTATAATATAATTATGAATCGTAATTAAACTGTAATTAAGTTAATTAATCATATTTAAAATGAACAACATCGTATAACCAGAATACGTTTTTCCGAAAACGTATTCGCGTAATACGTTTTCCACTAGAAAACGTATTTCGAAAGTACGTTTCTTAGTAAAATTAATTTCACAAATTCAGAAAATTATTTTTTTGCGAAATATAAATATTTTAAAATATAAGTTGTATTGTTAAAATACGTTTACATAAGAACGTATTTTCGAAATACGTTTTCCGCCCCAAATTGATTTTGCCCTAATTTTTGCCCCAAATTGATTTTGACATAATATTTGCCCCAAATTAAAAATATTTTAGAAACGTATTCTTAGAATACGTTTTTAGTTTAAAAAAAAAAACTCCCAGACTCACACGACATAACCACACGGGTCGTGTGACCTAACACGACCCTTGTCACATAACACAAGACTCGTGTGAATTAACCGTAGCTAAAATTTCATTTTTCTTGTAGCCACATGACTCGTGTCACCAACTCACACGAGTCGTGTGACCCAACAGCAGCTCGATTTTATCATTTTTCGTCCTTTAACAACCAACTACACCAAAATTACACGAGCAAATCAACCAATCTACCATAAATACCATCAAACCAAGTCCAAATAAATTATACAAACAAAACAAAATAAATAATCCAAACAAATCCAAATAAACACTAAAAAATCTAATCTCCCCACACATCACGAAGTCTAGACCTATCGCTGTGAGGGTGTGAGGACGGACACTCATCCAATCTCAAATTGATATCTATTCAACAACATTCCACAATCTCAAATCAATCCATTATTCAAACAAATAAAAAGAACCGCAATAATATATTCAAAATATATAGATAACCAAATATCATTCTACATAATCCACCAAAAAAAAAAGTTTACAAAAATCCCATAATACAAACTAACTAGGAAGGAGTGTACGTATCCGGTGGTCTACGCTGTCGGGACCCCTTCCTAGGAGGTCTATGTCCTGAAGAAGACGAGGCTACGTTGGTGATAGGTGTAGCAACTTCTTCTTGACCTGATTAAATATTTAAAAAAAAAATGAC